GATGAGGGAGAGGATGGACACCTATGCACGTCTAGTATAAACCTGGGCAGCTTACATCCACAGAACTTGTCTTTACCTGCTTGTGTTACCAATATATCAAAGGAAAAGGTGTAAAGTCACGTGACAATAATTCCTCCTGCTGCACTATTATTTTCAAATGCCCTTGATCTGTTTGTATGTGTATGGGTGTGTTTACTTTTGATTCATTTAATACTCAGGAAAACAAGCAAAAGGTTATTTATGTTCATTTTTATTGTGATAAAATATACACAAAGTACTATTTATCATTTGAGCCATTCCTGAATGTATAATTCAGTGGCATTAAATCTATTCACAATATTGTATCATCAGCACCACATCTATACTCATAACTTTTTCATCATCCCCCCAAGAAAGCTCTGTACCAATCAAATAGTAACTTCTTTCTTCCTTATCTTCAGCCCCCAGTGACCTCCATTCCACTTTCTGTCTCTATGACCTTGCCTGTTCTAAGCACTTCATATAAATGGAAGCATACCTTATGTGTTCTTCTGTGTTTGGCTTATTTTACTACTCCTAATGTTTTCAAAGTCCATCCATGTTTTACCATGCATCAGAATCCCTTTCTTTTCTAAGTAGGAATAATATTTCGTGTTGTTTCTATACCACATTTTCATTCTGTTGTGTTCACCTTGAGGCCATTATGAATAACACTGCTATAAACATTGGTGTGCAAAAAGTACCTGTTTTCATTTTGGATATATATCTAGGAGTAGAATTATTGAGTCATATGGTGGTTCTATGTTTAAAAAGGTAGATTCTTCTCTTTATTCTCCTAGCTCTAACTTTTGGACCAACACCAAGCAAGGCCAATTTAGCTTTCTCTGAATATGCGTTAAGCATTTGAAAATAGCTATCCTGTCCTCCTTAAGTCTTCTCTTGTCTAAGCTAAAAATTCCAAGTGATGCAACTTTTCTTTCTTAGCACTCAAATGTAAGATCTTACATCAATCCTTGCTACATTTCACTTTCTTCTTTCATCAATTTGGTCACTCTCTGGGGGATATTCAAATATTCTGGGAGCCAATCCATTAGACAGTTCTCCCAAGTTTATGTCTTCCTTCCTTTAGAATACACTGAGAAATTTAAGAATAATAAAAGCAAAAGGCTTTATTTTCCAGTTCATGAACAATCAAAAAGAGGATGGGGAAGATAAAATTATTTAATCCATCTTTAAAACTTCTCATGTGGACCCATTAGGAGAATTTATTTTTTTTCTGTTTTATATTTTTGGATAAGTTTTCTTTTGTGTTAGTTCTGTTAGTTGACCTGAGTATCATGTCATAATATAGAACAGCCTTGCATATAGTAGAGGTTCCATAAAGACTGTTATAAGAATGAAGAATTGAAACACTGGACTTTCTCCTTTGGATATTTTGATTGAGATCAGACCTCTCTTCCTCTCTTAGTTTTAAAATACTCATGATTATTGTGGGGCTCTTTTATGCTTTGACATCAATTATTTCCACTACTTGGATTCTGCTAGGTGTTGATCTAGGTTATGTTTGTCTCCAGTTTGCAATGGTTATTGAAGAAAAAGTGATATTCCACATTATTATCTACCAAATATTTATAAACTGCCTAGAAAGTTAAAGCTCAGATAAGAATATTCATGTAAAATCTTTTTATCCCTAAAATCCTAGAATGAAAATTTATTTTCTTAAGTATCATCCTGGTCTTCTTCTAAAACACTTGTCTGCTTATTTTGGTATGTGTATGGGTGGCTCAAGAACCTTACAGAATGCCTGTGCATGAGGGTTGACCACAGAGGGTTTAATTAAAGGGTAGTGCTCCTGGGTAAATGTTTTTTGTGCATGTATGGAAAAGGAAAATTTTTTGGGGGAAATTTAACTTAGGTGAATATTTCTCATTGCTTAATTTACTTATTTTTGTCACGCAAGCAAATTTCAAACTTGCTAAAGATACTAGTTTGTACACTATTCATGCCATGGTTGCTCTATTTCTAAACGGTTACATCCCAATAACTTTTTTTTACTCTTTAAACAAAATCTCAAGTGTTCAAAAAATTTTTTAAAAGATGACAGAATAACTGCTTTGAGAATAGGATGTGTCTTTGGTTTATAAGGTTTTGCAGTATTTAAATACCTTACGCAGCAAACTGACAGAACGCTAACATCGCCCCCCTTTGCCAGTGGCTGACATTTGCAGAATTGTTACCAGCTAAAAAGAGAAGGAACAGTGCATATGGGAGAAACATTGCAGTTGTTCAGATAAGTAAATCTTGATCACATTGTTTCATCATAAAGTACCTGTACTGCTTTGGGATAAGATCAATCATCCTGTGTTAATTTTTAGTGAAAGCATTGCAAGGCAAGTGACTACTAAAGTGACCCTCCCAACCTCCTTATAGACTTCAGCTTTAATTTCCCATTTTAGATATCCTCTGAGAATATCTCTCTGCTGAAATTTGAATTAAGTGTTGATTTCTCTTTATCTACATGACAGCGCAGTGATCAATATATGTAACACAAACACACACCATTAGGACACACCTATTGTGGTGTTTGGCGGTGATGCGGGACAGAATACTTGGTGTTTTGCATTGTGCCTTTCTTCCTGCTCCCTCTCTCATCCCCATTGTTACACAGTTGCTATTATTTTCAACTCTAAAGCTAAAGAATAAATATAATGTGAAATGGTAATTATTTTCTTCACTTTTTTCATTGTAAATAGCTGACAGTACTGATGATCCATTTCCTACATAATGGGTTGCAAGTGATTGACTGCCTTTGCTAAATACAACTCCCTAAATCGTGGGGGTAAACTATTAAAATACTAGACCACTGAAAGAACTATGTAACTTTCATTTTGTGCATTTGGTGTAGAGTCTCCTCTTTCCTCCCTCCACCCTCCCAGCTGTAACAATTGAAACTCAGCCAGAATATCTGGTAACCAATTTGGATAAAAGATATCTGTTTAAACATAGTTTTGCTTTTTTATGAAAATGGGAGATATTGGGACACACTAAGATTAAATGGCAGTGGAAGAGTCAGGTTAATTCGGGGAACAGAAAGGGTTGGTTTCCTGGCACTGCTTTCTTAGCAAAGAGAACAATTTTAATCAGTTACAAAAATATTTGTGATCCATATGCTCCTCTCTGCTCATTCCCATATGCCCATATTCTCTTTTATCCTGGTAGATGATGAGTTTATGATTCAGGCGTGCAAGAATAATACCTCGCTGACTTCAGAGCTTAGTGCTATTTCAAAATGTGTCCTGGTAATTACGCACACATATATATCCAGGCTGTTCGCGCTTCGAGCTGGTTACAGGAATATCAGTTTGTTCTTTCTCTTTCTTCATGGGAAGAATTATATCTTGCATCCACCTACTGTGGCCGGAATAATGCAGCTAAGGCTTACATTTGAAAACTGTATTTTGCCATTCACCTGCTGGATTAAATGCCACTGTACAAATATGAGGATCAAGAAAAGGAGACAAAAGGGTGTGGTGATCGTGGATAACTTCATTTTCTTTGGGAAAAGAAAAACAGAATCCAAAGAGCATTTGGTAATTCCATCCATCCCTGGTGCCTATTCTCATGTATTTGTAATGGGCCGGTTACTTAAATAGATTCTAATTTTAAGACATACTGAGTTCTATTTGACATCAAGTGTTAGTCCTAATGGTCATGGAGAAACCGGCCAAAATTGAAAAATGAAAATTAATGTTGATTAGTGATCCATATTTGCTCTAAATGCATGCCTGTTTATCTCTCAATAACTCTGTAATTTCTAACAACAAAAGGAACATACTTTAAAGCCAAATTATCCATTTTAATAAAATACGAATAAAGCTAGAAATTAGTGAGTGTGTAAGTGATCGCATTTTCAACAGTTGTTTTCCTCTTGCACAACAAATGGCATTGTAACCCAATATGCTGTTAATATAGCCACAGTAAAATCCGGGGAGGAACCAGCTGTGCCTGTTTATACTTGGGAGGGGGGCAGCCAAAGGGGGGGAGGCAGAGAGGATTTCTAAACTTCAGACTAAATAACTGAGATGCATTTAGTGTTTCAAAGATGGGTACGTGATGGAAGAGGAGCGCGTGTGGTTGGATTTAGCAGGTGTGCACCAGAGTAGAGTTGCAGTGCGAAAGGAGAAAGAAGCTGCCTGGTTTTGGCAAATGATATTAGGAAGCCATCTCTGTGTTTGCATTCAGGCTGTCTTTGCCACTGCTTCTGTAGGAGTTGTGAGAAAAAGAAAGTGCACTTTATAGCATGAATTGTTTTCAACAGCCTCAAAGTTTGCAGTCTGCTGGATCCCTCTGACTGCCTCTTTACTGTCAGACAGAATGCCTGGCTTGCGGTGGCAATCCTGATGGGGAGGGCAGGGTGCAGACTGGACTGTGTTCACTGTGCAACAAGAATATTAGGAATGCATCTTCCCAAACTTTAAGCAGCTGTGCCATGGCGAAAGTTTGTTGATTTTTTACTTATATAGTTAAATGCCTCAGTAAAGCAAAATCTTGACGTTTCATTAGGATAACTTTCCAAAAGAAAGGAGTCACAGAAATAGCATTAAAATATATTATATTAATCTATAATTAAGACAAAGTCTTCATTTAAAAAAAAAGGAGGCAGGACTTTGCTCATAGGTGATCTTGATTCTCATTGAGGCAAACACACAAGCTTGTTATTTTTTTTTTAATATGAAGTGCGAGATTTCACTAAAAAAGGTTAAAATTGAAGTGAGTAATCTTCGGTGCATAATGCAATTGTTAATTTTAGCTCCTTGCGTGGGTGCCGTTCTGACTTGAACAGCCGGGCTGTAGCCTTCATTAGAGGAGAAGCAGGCAGCTTGAGACAGGTGGAGCTGGATCAAGCTGTGAACGTGATTTGCTGGAAGCTGGTCAGAGTGTTAGAAACCTGGTCTTTTTTTGCGTGTTTCACCTTACCATGATTATTGCAATTATCACTATTGACTTTCATCTTTTTTCAGGTTGATGATGTGTCACACTGTGTAAGGAAACCGCATGGAGATGAGCACTCTGAACTGTTAGTGGGGACATGGGACCCCAGTTGTCTGTGCTCACTTGTGTGGATTTTGCTGGTGCACAACGACAGCCGCCGCTAGCACATCGCCAAGCCCGACAGCAGGAATTCTGCCTGAAAGGTAAAGGTCTTGTTGTCTGGCTGTCATCTCGTCTGTAGTTTTTTATGATCATATAAATGTGCCTGGTTACATAAAGGAGTTTACTAAGTGTAACCCAAACAGACAGGGTCTGGATCAGGGACTCAGTGGGCTTATTTATAAAATTAGAGCTCAGTTTGTTTGTTCCATTGTAAATGTGGTCACGATCTTTTTTCTTTATTGAAATGCTCTGAAAAAAAGAGTTAGGGCAGCAGACAGCCCATGTCCTCCCCCGACCTAATAAGTTGAGAAGCAAGCTCTTTGGGAAACAGAACTTTTTTTTTATTTTGTGAACTGCACACAAGCCCAGCAGCACTGGAATAGGAGAACTCTGTCAGAATACACTGGATGGAATATCCTAAGACCTCCCCAGACCTAAAACCATTGTTCACTAGTCACTCACTGACTCCAACCACCATCCTTTAGGAAAACTTGTCCTTTTACATTCCCACAATCCTTTGCCAAGTAAGCCTGTGTTTTTTTAAAGATTTCATTAGATACCATCTGTTCTGTCATGGTCGATCTTAGCAAATTTGCAACAGAAATTGCTGTGTTTTCGATTTTTCTCATGCTTCCTATCTCCAGTTGGAAATAAAGTCACTGAATTAGTACATGGTAATGAAACACTCCCAAAGAAACATATCATAACACTGGTTTGCCTAATCATAATTGCCACTGTAACAACTGGGACCAGGACAATTTTTGTTTGAGAGCTTTTGTGTAAGGACTGATTTTCTAGACTCTAATGTCTTTCTCTGTGTATTTCTTTTTCCTTCTTTCTTCCCATCTTTTCTCCTTTCTTTCCTTTCTCCTTCTTCTCCTCTTTCTCTCTGTCCTCTCTCATTCCTTCCTCCCCTTATTTCTTTCTTTTCCCTCATGTCTTAAGAAAACCTGAGGAGGAAGTAAAAGCTAAATTATTCATGAGCCTCATTTGACAGTGCATCAGAAGGAGAAGTGTCAGGGGTTTCATGGAGGTAGGGAGAAAAAAATAATAATAACAGGCTTTAGCTTTGAAAAGCCATTTCCGGTGTCTGTGTAGTAGTCTGCTGTGAGCCTGGGGTAGGGCAGTTTGATGGGGACGGCTTCATCAGAGCTGCCTGCCAGAGCCTTCCCACCCGGGCCGCACGGGCCACTGACAGCGACCTGGGAGAGGACTCATGCTTTTTAATAATGCCGCTGTCAGTTTGAAGCCTGAAAATGTTGGCCCTGAAAGGTTTATTGCCAAATTTAGATCTTGTATTTGTACTGCTTTATTACCTCTTAAATTGATTTCTGCCCCTTGTAGAGTGTACTGTCTCCCTCATACTTAAGAAAGTATGTCTGTAGGTGAGACTTGCAAATAATTTTGGGGTTCTTCCTACTGGTGGTACAGAACACCAAGACCACCTCTTGACTCAGAAGTGGAGGGTCATCTGGTCAAAGTTGGAGAAACACTGTTTCTTTTTTCTTATGTTTTGTCATGGGCACAGAGATGGGTAGATGTGTGGGAGTTATGCATCTCCATTTAAGATTTGTTGGTCCATTTGGGTAGCAAAGTGTGTTCACCAATGTTTGTGTGTGTGTGTGTGTGTGTGTGTGTGGAGGGAGGTAGATAGGGCTACGAGACCTGTCTCTGTGCCTGCCTAGGGTACTTGATTTGCTCTGATTTTGTTTTCCTTTTGTATAAAGTTGACAGGGACGCCTGAATTGCTCACTGAAATTTGGATACAAAGGGAGGACAGAACTATCTCAAGAACAATAGTAAATACTTCGCCCTGCACTGGCTTTATTTTGTGACATCTTAACCTTGTAGGGCATCAAACCTTGTCATTTTAATTTGCATCGGGAGGATGTCAGAGCAAGGGGACCTGAATCAGGCCATAGTGGAGGAAGGCGGGACCGAGCAGGAACCCAGCACACCAGAGAATGGCATTGTTAAGTCTGAAAGTCTGGATGAAGAGGAGAAGCTGGAGCTGCAGGTGAGCCTGGGAAAAACCACTCTCCCACCACTGGGCACGGTTCTTTCATTCATTTTTAGAATACTTTTCAGGTTTGTTTGCTTTCTATTTTTTCAGAGTTTGGTGAAATAAATAGGAAATCCATACAGCTAATCCTCTCCTTTCCAAATTAGTAGTCACGGTTTTTCCTGACCAAAAGATGCTCTCAAATGCCCTTCAAAATGAAAAAAAAAATCCATATGGTCTATTTAATGACTGAATTTGCATATAGCAATGCCATACTAAGTTCCAGAGCACCTCAAGGATTTTGGGGAGGCAGCATTAGGCTAGCTGAGTTTTAAAAATGGAATTGCTGTGCCATGAAAGATGAATACCCAGCTCCGGATAGGCTAAGAAAAATCACAGAGGTGAGCTCTATTGACCTTTGTGGGCAGGCGAAGGTTCCGTTCTTGTTAGCCTGCAATCCTGGGCCCTAGAATTCCCAGTCCAAGAGAAAAAGGGAGACCAGGAAGTGGCGGGGGGTCAGGGGAAGGGGGTTGGCAGGGATTGGCAGTACTGAAAAAGTGATACGAGGAAATACAACAAGCGATTTGATGGAGGGAAAACAACTGTCCTTGCAAACAGCCTGAACCGATTTTCCTCCAGCTAAACTGCAAATGTATTAACTCTTTTTATGTATAGTGAGCAAAGGCAGAAAATCATAAATGCCAAAAGTCTTTAAGGTCAGTTTTTTTTTCCTTTCCAGCAGCTGCTGTGAAGAGAAAGCTAAAAGTTAAAAGGGCAGAAGTTTTGGGGGGACCCTCCCCAGTGCTTTGAGTACCTTTTCTCTGTTACAATTGATTCCTTGACTAGAGTGACTTGACACCTTTTTTTCTCTCTCTTTCTCCTGGCTGTTGGGTTTACTGTTTGTTTGTTTGTTTTATTTGTTTCTACATATAGAGGCGGCTGGCGGCTCAGAATCAAGAAAGGAGAAAATCCAAGGTAGGGATCTGGAGAGGCTGCATTGACCTGATACCATGGATGTCAATTACGTAGTTCCCACTGTGATTAAAGGGTTTGCCAGCATTTCTGTTTTGGGCTTGCGTTGTTTGGCATTGTGCTTTTTGATGGCTTCTTTTTTTTTTTTTTTTTCAGCATTTAGGGTTCCCATAGTGGCAGATGTATAAATTTGATCCCATTTTCACACTGGTAGATTTGACAGTGTTTAACGAAACAAATAACAACTTGTTCTGTTTTTATTTTAAATAAAATCTGGGGTGCATGTTTTAGCTTCCCCAGTTGATTTCTGCCTTGAAGTGAACAGGCTCTGGTGGTTAGATACATTCTTCATCTGGTTGAAGCATCATTTCAGTCAAATCCCTTCCAAAATCAGTCTTAGAAGACAATTGTTTTTGTCATCTTTTTCCCCTTACATTCTCATGAAATGGCAGACATCCATTCTTCAGAAGTCTCCAATGTGATGGGCATGATTTGCTAAAAGTGGTCCTCAAGTCAGTGCTCACATTCTCGTCCGCCTGCATCCCTGCCCACACAGTCTGATGCTGTGAGCCAGTGTAGACAGCACTGAGGGGCCGATTTGAAGCTCGGTTTTAAAAATCAGATTTGGGAATGTCCTGTGAAGGTGGAGATGATTGACAGGTTGCAGATGTCCTCTGTTTGTGTCTTTTATTTCCCTTCCTGTCCCTTTTCTTTTCCCCCTCTCAGTCAGGAGCCGGAAAAGGTAAACTGACTCGCAGCCTTGCTGTCTGTGAAGAGTCCTCAGGCAGACCAGGAGGTGACAATCTTCAAGATCAGGTAGACCCCCCTGTCATTTTCATCAGTTGCATGAACGGGATCTACCTTTGTGTGCATGAGTATTAATTTGGCATTAAGTAGTGTTTCGGGGGAGAAAAAGTAATTGAAGAAAGAGGTAGTTTTCTGGCTTTGTCCCCTGTTTATGAGACATTCTAAACTAGTTGAACAGTTTGTCACAGAGTATTACGTTTGTTTTTTTTCCAGACCCTCTGAAAACTGCAAATGGAAAGGAATCCAAAAGAATTTAGATTAAAACTTAAAAAGTAAGCACGGTAGTGCTGAATTTCCTCAAAGGCTCTCTTTTGATAAGACTGAACCAAATACAGTCCTAAGTATCCCATCTCCTTCCTTACAGGAGATCGTTACCTCTTACTGCCCCCACCGTGCACCTGCCTATAAGAAACACAGCTCTTGGCTCTTAGGAAACTTTAGAAATAGTGAATAAGGTGCCTTGAGCTTTGGAGACATACTTTTATGACCTTGGTGGAGGTTTTCTCAATACTGGAAAAAGTTGTCCAGAAATGAATCTGAGCTGCTGATGAATTTCAGTTAATATTATTAATAACATCACTGCATATCCTTACACATATTTTTGCTCTTGACAGTGAAACTATTAGGCTCTAACAATTCGAATTCCAACAAAACCTTCCCATGGCAAACGGGAAACTTCACGTCTATGTATTTCTGTTTGCCATTTGGGCACCGTATTAACTTTTATAAAAATAGTCTTGCTGCTGAAATTTCCTTTGTTTTATCAGAGGCTGAGAGCAGTCAAGACAAAAGTAAGATGACTTATCTGAGCCCAAGGGAGGGAAAATTGTTTAAGATAGCATTATTTTTGTTTGGTCTTGTTTTGTTTTTCTCTTTTTACTTTAATTGAAATACTCTAAATTCTCCTCATGGATGCAGAGAGCATTGATCGAGAGCACTTTCTTTCTTTAAAAGGACCAAAAACAAATTCCTTATAGATTTTTGTCCTAAGAGTATTCTTTTTCTAGCCTCATTTTCTTACCATGCCACTTGTGTCGTAAGGCATAGACAGGCTATCTTTCTATAGCCATCACTGTTTCATACGCAAGCTTTATTTTACTTGGGCTCTGAGAAATGTGGCTTTTCTTCAGCATTTTACCTGTGCTTCTATTTTTAATGGAGATTGAAAAGGGGGAATAATGTGAATATCATGGCCTGTATTATTAAATGTTGATGGATGGCTTGTAAAGTATTGCACACGATATATGTTAACTCTGCAGAATGACAAAGTCTGTGCGAAGTAAAGCCGCCGTTGTTCCCCACTCCAAGTGCCAGGCAGAGAAGGACAGCTTTTACAGACTTAATCTGCTTTTTATCCCATTTGACAAGGTACCAGGAGGAAATCTGTTAAGAGATCACCTGTGTCATAGTGCCCGTCCTGGACCTAAGTCTAGTTTCTCCAGGTACTTGGTGCAGAGAACTGAGATGCAAACAGTGCTTTGTTCCTGCTGGTTCTGAGCTCAGAAATCAAGACTAGCTTTGTAGGAGAGAATTAGAGCTTGCAAGATTCTCTTTGAACTGGCTGAGGGGTGCTGGGAGCAGGGGCTGAGAGAAGACACCCAGACACACATGTTAGCAAGTGGCCATGTCACATTTTTAGGGAAAAGAAGCAGACCTCTGAGTTGATATGCAGTGCCTTCGTTAGGTAACACAGGCACTTACAAAATGTGGGAGCTGAATCCCAGAGAACAGTGGCAGAAGTACACAGTATATGGATCACACTGCTTCCCCAATGTTTGTATATTCACAGTATTTGGAAAACTGCCTTCATTTTCCTGTGTGGGAAAAACTCTCGCTACCTGTATTACTTGATCTCAGACCCATAGCTGATGGTTTAGTCTGTCCTTAAGTTGAAGGAGTTTTGCTTTTCTAATGTTATACTATTTACCTATCAGTGTGTTACTGCAACTTGACTCATTCTTTTACTGTTATTGGATATAAACTTATCCTGTACCAATGTATTTATTAACACTTGTATTTTATTATTGAGCATATCAATAAAAATATTAAAAAATAACAGATTGTTTTTTACCAACTCTATAGCACTTTTGTGTATTCTTTCAACATCGTAATGTATATGTATGCATAGATAAGATAGGTAATTTTCTGAGTATAGTGTTTGTTCACACATGGCATGAATTTGTACATTTTTTTTGTAGATGATGCCCCTTAGCTTCTGTTCTTGCATCCATTTCCCAAACTTCCTTGATTTTAGATTCAAACTAACAGAGGCTGGGTGGCTTATTTGGCTTTGGAGAAGTGATGAGACCACTCCCATGGCCTGGACCCTCAGTTTCCCCTCTTGTTCAACAGTCCAATTGATTCCTCCCCACCCCCAACCATTTCTTCTCGGCCAGAAATGTTCCAGCTGTTTCCTTAGCAATAGAAGCAAATTGTAACCCTAAAATCTGCCTGAACCTTTGCAGACTAAGACATTTCTTTCCCAGATCATATGATAAAAGAACCTACAATCAAGTTACACTCTGTTTTTATGTATTTTGCATATGTCCATCCCCAAGATAAACATGTGGACTCAGAACATCTAGATAAGATAAATATTTATCATAAGAATGCATTTCATTTCATCCTCTATATCCTTTGTCCTTCCAACCAGGGTGACTTCTTATTCCAGTCAGGACTTCCCAGGGGAGCCCCTCCCAAAAAAGAAACTTGGCCCTGGAGGATTTTTGTTTTATTCTTGTTAGATTAGCCATGTTTACCAAGAGCCATTAGGAATCCCAAATCGGCCCTAATTTGAGGATGTGCAAGCATCAAGTTAGTCACATGGAGAGGAGCATTAATTTAGTTTTCAGTGATAAACGTTATTAGTCATTAGGAATATTTCTTTCCCCTACATCATAGATTTTAATGTCACTGATGGAAGAAAAGCTTTCTCATCAAATTCAAATGATCTCTTACATAAGACCAAGTGGGCCTAATGTTGGCTGATTTGTCATAGTTTTACTCATAGCAGAGGTTTTTCATAAAGCAAAAAAACAACATAATTTGGTTCATTCTTCTTCAAAACAGTGAACATACTATCAACCAAATGGCTGGTATGTGAGTTAACACAAAATGATCTGTTTTCAGTGCAAAATAAGTGAACATAAAAGTGGACCCAGGCCCAATACTGCAAATGGCTCATCTTAGACCAAGCATCAGTTTGAGAGAATCTGACACTTGGGAAAGGACTAACTGATACTAAAAGTAAAAGACTATTAAGTATTTACAATCAATGGAAACTACAGTTCAACTTTGTACCTCTTCTAAAAGGCAACATCTATTGTAATCATAGAGTGTGATGAATCATTAATGGAATTTGCAGACAGTGTAATGGTCCATGCCTAGGGTCCCTGCAGTTGGATAGCTTGGTTTTTTCCTTAGTAGTAGAAATCATTGCTGATGTGGTTCTAATATCAACTTTTTATTGCAAGTTGACTGTGAGGGCCTTTTTTTTATGTCTGTTCTATCTGTAATGATGATTATCTGTCTGTCCGTGTTGGTGCCAATTTTTCCTTATAAGGAATGATAGAAAAAGACTGCAGAAGGCGTTTTCTTCTTTCTTTTTGGAGACATGGCAGTGACTGTGATGCAAGCTTACTCATAAAAAAATGTTTCCTAGGTGCTTAAAAAATAAACCTGTAGAGAAAATAAGAGTTGTGATCTATAGGAAAGTAATATGCTTCAAGCTAATATTCATGAGGCAAAGTTTTAGTGCTAGATGTTTCTCATGACCTTCCATTGACTTCTGAAGTTTAGTTCACCTTAAAGGGCAATTATTTTTCTGACAGGTTTAATTTTTTACCATTTAAAAAAAAATCTGCACCTGGCTTTCATTTTCCTGTATTTCATAACCTCTATGCAAAATGGAAACCAGACAGAGATTCTTCAATCTGGCCCTAAATTATTATATTTTTTCCCCAACAGGAATCAATTCATTTACAGCTTTCCAGTTTCCCCAGCCTGCAAGAGGATGATAAATCTAGGAAAGATGACTCTGACAGAGAAAAAGAAAAGGATAAAAACAAAGATAAAACCTCTGAAAAACCCAAGATCAGAATGTTATCAAAAGGTGAACGTGAAAATGTTTCCTTAACTTACTCTATTTGGACACATAAGTAGTCACAAAATACCTTCTAAATTTTACACACATATTCACCTCCTGCCAAACTCTGCATATAATTTTATAGGTGTACATATGTGCATGTGCGTATGTGTGTGTGTGTAAAAGATGTGAACTCAATTTTCCTTCCATTCATGCTGTCATGATTTTGTGTTTCTAGGAAGGTTACTTTTACAATCACATGTTTCTTTGGATTTTCATTTGGGTCTCCTATTTTCAATGTAAGTTTGTACAAAAGAGTGAATATAAATCTGCTCTTAATTCAGGTTTATTAGTCCAATTAACTTGGATTGATAAGCAGTAATGACACCCAGTTTTGCATCTTAACTTTCAAGCTTGTCTTGAAAGACAGATAGTGGATTAGCCATTCTCAGTTGATCAGTCACGTGGTCCCTGAAGCACAGGTGTGTATGTTGGTATCCATAGAATATGTGCTTAACATTTTATCTGGTACAGATGGATTGGGCCTCTTCAACTCATAAACCACCATTTAATTCCTCACTGAAAGCATACATACTTCTATGTCCATAACATTTTCCAAATAAAGTAATTCCTCCTAAAACCTCAAATCTACAATCCAGAATTTTCAAATCATCACCATACGTGCAGTTGTACAAAACTAAAACAAAACCAAATAAAAGAAAGGAGAGGAAAAACTAAAACTAAGTTAAGTTGAAATGAAAATGTCATGAATAAGTAGCTCTGCAGTAGACTTTTTTGTAATAACTGAGAAAGAATGGGGCATCAGCTGAGAAATGACAACTAATTCTAATATTATGCTGTATAACCGCGTAGCTGCTCGGGATGATTGTCTCTGCTGCTGCATATCTGAAACACAGGGTGTAACAAGAGTAAAGAAGCATGTGCGTATGTGTGTGTGTGTAAAAGATGTGAACTCAATTTTCCTTCCATTCATGCTGTCATGATTTTGTGTTTCTAGGAAGGTTACTTTTACAATCACATGTTTCTTTGGATTTTCATTTGGGTCTCCTATTTTCAATGTAAGTTTGTACAAAAGAGTGAATATAAATCTGCTCTTAATTCAGGTTTATTAGTCCAATTAACTTGGATTGATAAGCAGTAATGACACCCAGTTTTGCATCTTAACTTTCAAGCTTGTCTTGAAAGACAGATAGTGGATTAGCCATTCTCAGTTGATCAGTCACGTGGTCCCTGAAGCACAGGTGTGTATGTTGGTATCCATAGAATATGTGCTTAACATTTTATCTGGTACAGATGGATTGGGCCTCTTCAACTCATAAACCACCATTTAATTCCTCACTGAAAGCATACATACTTCTATGTCCATAACATTTTCCAAATAAAGTAATTCCTCCTAAAACCTCAAATCTACAATCCAGAATTTTCAAATCATCACCATACGTGCAGTTGTACAAAACTAAAACAAAACCAAATAAAAGAAAGGAGAGGAAAAACTAAAACTAAGTTAAGTTGAAATGAAAATGTCATGAATAAGTAGCTCTGCAGTAGACTTTTTTGTAATAACTGAGAAAGAATGGGGCATCAGCTGAGAAATGACAACTAATTCTAATATTATGCTGTATAACCGCGTAGCTGCTCGGGATGATTGTCTCTGCTGCTGCATATCTGAAACACAGGGTGTAACAAGAGTAAAGAAGTACAGGTTCTTAAAATGGTTTTAGAAATTCAGCTTGAGCCAGCCTTGGAAGATTTGAAAGACTTAGAAATATTTAGTGCCCTCCTGTGTTTTGTACCAACTGGTATTTAGATTGTCTTGTAACAGATTTCCTTTATCTGCTTCTCTGTTTTAAGACAAAGAGGGTGCCAAAGGACTCAAATCTTAAGAGCTCTCTCTGTGGGTTGGAAGTACCTGTCACACGGAGGTCATACCCTGGCTGATTTCAGCACAGAATGAATACATCACATTTCACTCCACCCACCCCCACCACCCAGCCTGTGCCCACTTCCCCTCCTATGGCAGCAGGTCTTTCTACACTCAGCATATGCTGGGTGATCTCCATTCCCAAATCTAATTTTCATTCTGATGTTACACTGCCAGGTTGCTAGTTTTGAAATGTATCCTTCATCCCAATAGCATCACCTTAAATTTACCTGAGCAGGAGGGAACCTGGAAAGGGTGGGAAAACCTTTTCTATCCCACCTCCCCACTATCATTCCTGACAGCTCCATCCTGCTATTTGTTTCAGATTGCAGCCAAGAATATACGGATTCTACAGGCATAGACTTACACGAGTTTCTGATTAACACATTAAAGAATAATTCCAGGTAAATTATTAAATAAACTTGTGATTTTTAAAAGAGTCAAGCAAAATATGAGAATCAAAGTGATTAATCCAAACACGACTAAGAACCGGGTTGTGAAATTCAGACACCTTCTCTGATGTCTTAAATTATCTCCTGTATCTCTTTGCTGGTAATAGTTGGCATGTTTACTGTTCAAATAGCCTTAATTGCTGGGTAGTTATCCAGTAAATAAACTATAGCATATGAGTTCTGCTTTCCTGGTCACAAAAAGGTCCTGATGTCATGGGGAAGAATACAGAATGAAAAGCAATGCGAGATGAACCAGTTATGCTTCAATGCAGTTATACAGCCATCTACTAGGGCTTTGTTTTGTGCCAGTTTCCAAACAATTTAAAATATACAGTTTATTTGGTGTGTTTTATGGGCCTAATATCTTGCATGTACTAATTAGCATTAAAACTACAAAAGTTCCCAAAGTACAAAATACTAAGCAACTGAGATGAGAAATCATCTGAAGTAGGAGGAAACCATATGCATATGGACGGCATATTCCAGAGAAGAGTTGATCCAGATTTGTAGTCACACACATTTAAGCAGTATTTTCCATATATCCAAATGAACTTTTTGGGTCTTTTGGAATGGAAAGTGCATAAAATCTTTTCATTTGAACATTTGTCTTACAGGGACAGGATGATACTCTTGAAAATGGAGCAGGAAATCATCGATTTCATTGGGGACAACAAGTACGTTAAATCGCAAACCCGGCTAATTTCTACGCTGTGTCTTACTTTGGTTTTCGGGTATAATTATCCATTCTGGAAAGATTTAGGGATAGATAAAACATTATCTAATATATTTGCTGATTTGTTAAATGGAGATGCTGTTAGAGTTGGGGGCTGTATGCTGATGGGAATGGTTGCTTAGCCCACGTGTGCTTCTGCTTGTTAAATTCCTGACAAAATGCCTATAAACAGGGGCCGCTGATTAGCATAGAGTAGCTGTAACAAGAGCGACCCTTTTCATTTTTATTATAGTTTTCTAATGGGCTCCAGCTGGCTGCAGTCAGTTAGGCCTGGTAATAATTGTACGGCTTTCAGTGTAAACCATGTAATGCCACATCTCCAGATAGACATCTGCAGTTGCATATTATGTTGTATCATTTGTCCTGTCCTGGCTCTGTTGATAAGGTATCATGGCCTAAAATAGAATACTTTCCCACAGACATTAAGGTCTTTTTGGTGAGAGACATGCACAACCACAAAACAAGGATACTCATTGTAGCTTAATCAAATCTATAAGAAGTGGGAAATTTGTCTGGAAATGAGGACATTAAGTGGTGCCAGAGATGATAGAAGCTTAGGGGTTGGGATGAAAAAGAAATGGCTTTGCACGTATACCTATAAAACGTACTATGGGCCAGGAGCAAAAAATGCTGATCCCACTTTGTCTTATACTCCTTTCCAGTAATCACTATAAAAAGTTCCCTCAGATGTCATCCTATCAGAGGATGCTTGTCCATCGAGTGGCAGCTTACTTTGGGTTGGATCACAATGTGGATCAAACAGGAAAATCCGTTATCATCAACAAGACCAGCAACACAAGAATGTAAGCCCCACCACTCTGTTTATTGAGCATTTTCTTCTTCTCTTATGGGTTCATTTATGAGAGCACAGTGTAAAATTCGAAGTACATGACATTTAAAATCTGCAGTGTTATTTATCTCTTGCTCTTATCAGCAGCAGGTGGCATTTATCTGTAGAAGATTATCTGAAGACCAGGAAAGTGGATAAAATTTAGCCAATAAAGTGGATTTATTCCTTGCTCTTTTACATAGCTCCTGAAACATAATTTTCCTTCTTGCATCAGTACTCCATATGATTACATACAAAAGCCTGGGCCATTTTATGTTAAGATTTAGCTCAAATGAAAAATAACATTTAAAAGCAACAATGACATATTCAGGATAATTGTCTCTTTCTTTTCCTGGTTTGTAAACATCTATTTACTGTGGTTTCTAGAGGAACAAAAGATCTGAACGTGGAAACTTCTGTCCTGCCCTCTAAAACCCAATTCTGTGATTGACTAGTTGTGCGACTTGAAGCAAGTCACTTAAAATCTGCCATCTCAGTTTTTTCATCTGTAAAATGAGAGCTTTGAGCTAGATATCAGAGTTCTAGTTCAAAAAGGAGGACAGTTATTAGTTTGTTTTTTATTTATCAAATGTACATCCCAGTGGTTCAACAGTCCCTCTTCCCTCCTCAGCACCCCCATCCACTCCTCCCCGCCTTAGGAACCACTAGTCACTTCTCAGTGCCTATTAGGATGGTTATTAGTTTTTGTTCCTTAGAATAGTTGTTTGCTTTTATCTTATTATCTTTTCACGGGGCCATTGAGTCACCAAAAACATAAGATGCCTCATCATTTGCTCTGGAAACCTAGAGTTGTCCCTCATGAACCCATGTATCTTTTGAGTATAGCACAAGCCACTTGTGCAATAAAATACTTGTTAAACTGAGAAACTATCCCTATGTAAAGCATTCTCATGAAACATTTGTGTATTACAATTTCCTCTTTCACAGTGTGCTTGGTAAACTGCATAAATTGCATGGATTTTAGGAATGCTATGTTGGTGAGGTGAACTTTCAGGTGAAGAATGTAGCATGTTCGTAACACTCTTTGTTCTCTGCTCACCAGAGGTTGGGACAAGTAGAGACGGAGATGAGGCCTTTTCCTCACTCCAAGCCTGGTCTGTGTTCAGAGAAAGAGAACTAGGGTGAAGGTCACAGTGGAGAGGATGCAAGTGGGGAGACCTGGGACTGAGCATGGCTATTATCTCAGTGACACTGAGCACTGTACTTCTCTGGGCTTCAAATTACTTATTTATCTGCAAGAGAGTTTAAAGTGGATAATGTTTAAGGGCCCTTGAAGCTTCAGAATCATTGGGTCCCATGGCTGCTTTCTACTGTGCTGGTAAAATACATCGAAAAATTTATCAGCTCTCCACTTTATCTGATGGCTAGCCTCCTATTTTGAACAGTCATAGGAATGAAAAGTCATTGCCCTTTCCTCCCTTACATCCTCCCTCACCATCCAGTGCTCCTACTTTGTCACCCCTGTTGTTGTTTTCTCATTGCTATTCTGATTTTTCTTTGGACTTTCAGATATCATAATGCAGGGACACACTGCATGTAAAACAGACAAGCAGTTGACTATCTCTTTTGAATTTTTCTCCTCTTTCTTTATCAGACCATCACAGACATGGAAAAGCCCACACATCAAGTAAATTGTCTGATACTCTTTCACCTAGTGGAGATAGTGCTTGATTTTTAATCCACGCTGACTTTTCAATCCCATAGTCATGAACATTAACATACATGTTTGATACCTCTTTCCTTGTAGAACCATTTTTGAGAAAATTAAGTACTACATAAACACTCTTGGTAAGCTTTGAAAGATGGCTCTAAACTTGCCTGCCCAATATGGTAGCCACTAGCTATATATGGCTGTCCATATTTTAATTTAAATTAATTCTATTTAAAATAAATTTGAAATTTATAATTCAGTTCCTCAGACAGGCTAGCCACATCCTATTACACAGCATTTAGAGAACATTTCCATTATTCCAGAAAGTTCTTTTAGTCAGCTCTTCTCAAAATCCTTGTGATTCTTGCAAGTTTCCCAATACCACTAAAGGCTATAATTTTTTCCTTAAAACTGTTATTGTCTGGCTAACAGGTGTCATATTATCATATTATTAGATTTCTTCACTTCCAGGAGAGCAGTGGCATTCTTTTTTTTTTTTTTTTTAATGACTAATTGAAAATAGACCCATATGTTTCTGCCTTCAGAAGTAGTGGAAAGAGCTAGCACGGACAGCACTTTCAAGCCGTACAGTTGCTACTGCCGAATGCCCGCCCTGGCTCGGCCTCTGCCTGATTCCTGCTCTTGCATACCACCCTTTAACCCCACTCTGGAGTCAAATCGTGCCTACACAGAAAGACAAATGACTGTATGTCATGAACATCCCAGGTATTTCCTGAAGAGTTGAGCTAATAAAGTTCAGTCCACAGCTGTCAGCTGCTCTTCTGTCCAGTCACCTTTCTTACCATCCTCTCTTCAGACTCTTTTGGGAGGACATGGGGGTGAGGAGTGCTGATATCTTTTAGGACAAGAGAACCGGATGAATTAAATGTCCACACTTCAAGTAGTAGTAAGCCTGAATCACTATTGGCAGTCTTAGGGAAGGAGACCTGTCATTCTGTGGAAAGTCACACATTTTATTTTAATGGTCTGTTGCCATGTTCTTTTGGAGTTGAAGTTCAGAGTGGAACATTTTATCAAGAATATTCTATTCAAGTCCAAAGTGTCTTGGTTTTCTTTGTTACTCTGAAGATTTCAAGAGCTGTGCTCTTAAGGACAGTTGGCATGTGATGGTCATGGGGACCATATTAATTTAGGTATGTTATTGGATGCAAATATTTTCATTTGTATAAAGGAGAGAGGCTGAGATGGACAAGATGGCTTCTTGTGGGGTATGTGTTTGGTGAATAGTTTTTCAATGTATTCAATTTTATGCTACTACAATGCAAATGTATGCAAATGCACATTTAAATGGCACTGTAGCTTGGGAGAAATGCAGAAAAAATCTGGATGGAGGATACAAAGATGAACTGAAGGGCTGGAAGAGAGAAAGCACTTTTTTATATGACTTTTAATTTTTCTTTTTCAATGACACTGCATTGGCATAAAAGGTGATTCTCTGACATGGGTGTATTTCAGCTACAAATTGGCTGGGACTTATTTCCCAGAATCCTTGCTTTTCTAGATCATAGGTAGTTCAAGTAATTATAGAATGTGGCTTGAGCATACCAAGTTTTGCATGGAGAGAAAATAGTTTCACATGAATTTCAAAATATTGAAGTCATGACAGTGCCCTGTCAGGACTAAATATACATGCATGTATGTACTTCAGTCACTTCTAGGATTTCCTCTAATATCCTCAGATATAAATGATCTGTCCTTCCATGATGGAAAAATTTTGTTTGAGAACAGACTTCTCAGTTTGTTAAGTGATAGAATCTCTTACTTATCATAGCATTGCCTACTATTTATTCACTGCACTGGGCACCTTACCTCTTAGTTCATGTATCCTAAAGACACATTTACAGAGGAAAATGAGATGGAAATTCAAGCCCAAGAAGCAGGGATTAGCATGGCTGGGATGTAAACTGGTGTGTCAAATGCCAAGAACAATTTTCTTAAATAATCTAACTCTCCTAAACGAAATATTCAAAACATCTTGAGCAAAATCCCTGAGAAGATCCCCTTGTATGGCTGGGAATTCCAACTCTTTTAAGTCTTTTATTGTCTGAGAAGAAACAGTGGTGGTGGTGGAGGGTGCTGTTTGAAACTTACCTCAGAGGTATCCCTAAATATACTTCCTATAATTTGATAGCTTTTGCTAGATTTTCTGTGTTTATCACAGCTGCAAGACTTGACACTTGGGAGGGGCAGTTATCCATTCAGTTTAAACCTTGCTTTACTCCATTTCAATAAATTTTTTCTAAGAATTAAAAAGCTACCTTTATGAATAATGTCAGCATAGGAGATGCCCCTATGCATAGTGTTATTACAAAACTGCCACAGGCAACCCAATTGTCCAAACCCACGTTTTCATGTTGTAGCCACAAAGCATGGAGTGGGGTTTAGGGACATGGGAGCCCAGACAAAGTAGGAAATGACACTCACGTTAATGTGGCAGACATTCCAGGAAGGTGCCTTCATCTGAGCAAACTGATGCATGCTAGAGAATTAACGAAGGAACTCACCTTATCCTCATAGTCCTGCACCTTGAGGCTGGCTGAGCTCAGCAGGGTAAGGACGGGGCACATGTGACTTGCAGCACCAGGGCACACTTACTGGTGCACAGATTGGGTCTCAGAGGCAAGACTCACTTCTCATGAGAACTCACTGCCTCTTTGTAGAAATAATGAAGGACGTCTCCAGCCGTGTCATGGTTTGTCCACTTTCAGTGAGCTTTTCCTCCCACCCCCCCACCCTGCCACCATCTATTGATAGAAACATGTTTCCCTCTATAGCACTTCAAATTTTTTTCTTTTGGAATTCTTTGCTAACTGTCAGATTGGGTGGTGACACCAAATGGGCCCCTTGGAAATTAGGGTCTGTGCTAATTTGGGTCTGCAAATGATATATATAAGATATTTACTCTCTGTAATGTTGCTATTTTGATATTTAGGATTGAAGCAAAATTTGAAGCGAACTTGTAAAAAAAAAACTGGATGCTACAGATACATAAGTCTATTTTCACATGAGATGCTTTGCCCTTCTCTTTGTCTCCTTTTCTGATCTTCACTTTTCTCTTCTGCTTATTTTTCTATGTGTTTAGCTCAAAGCAGCATATTGTTCTTCTATTAGATGATTTTTATACCTCCCTATCCTTTTCTCCATTCTGGAGAAAGGGCCTATGCTCAGTGTGCATCATTTGACACACTTGCACTAGGGTTCTCTAAAGGCCAAGATCAGTCACAGGCAAAGAGAGCCCCATGTGCATCTGCATGTCTGTGCATGTGTCAGAGTAACTAACT